TCCCTGTTTACCAACACTTTGGTCTATAATAAACACAAAAAACATTTCTGGGCTCTGCATTTTTTGGGCGTCAGATGCCACTTGAAAACTGCCCCTAAATCAAGCTTATTTCCACTTCACCAGTCCAATAATTCAGCAATTAACGGCCGCTGAAGTTACTAAACCGACACTTTCCAGCCCGTTATACGAGAATAATAATTGAGGAGTTTCATGCATGCTTAAAATGTTCGAGATTTTGCGAGAAAATTAAAAATTTCACACTGATTAGTGATGTATGGCACCAAAATATCGAAGGCAAAATCGTAATGTTTGTGACCTCGTTTTGATTTTCTCACAAAATCAGATATTATTCTTCATAGAAGTTCAACTATACATGAGTCCTTCATTCAACAAGTGTTATGGTCTTAACTGTGACAAGACCAAGCTGTTTTTAACATACTAGAAAAAAAATTGTTGCAGTGGGGAAGGACTAGAAGGGAACATACGAACCATTCGAGCTAGTCCACCCAAAAACTACAACAGACATTTAAATAAAGAAAAAGAAAAAAGAAAACATTAAAATTATATCTTAAATGTAAAAACTATAATTGATAGGAGTCAGAGAGGTTTTGAGACGAATAATTGGCAAGACCATATTCACCTTCTTAAAGGAGGAGATCAAGCTGGCAGCTGGCCCCCTGCAGGTTTGCGCTGGCCACAGTGTGGGTGCCGAGGCCGCCATATGTATACACGCCATGGCCCAGATTTTTGATGATGATGGTGCCGACGGAATCCTGTTGGTTGACGCCAGCAACATCCAAATTACTTGTCCTGAAATGTCCATATCATCAACACGTACAGAAGTCCCTCGAGACTGTTCACCTGTGAAGGGGAACAGATCTTATCCCACGAAGGGACAACACAGGGTGACCCTCTAGCGCTATGTGGTATGCGATCAACACATTTATCGTGATTCAGAGCCTAAGAGAGCGTATACCTAAAGTTAAGCAAGTATGGCTGGCTGATGACTCGGTGGGAGGCGGCCCAACTGAACTGTTATACAACTGGTACAAGCTTTTTTGTCAAGAAGGAAAGAAATGTGGCTACCTAGTCAATAGCTCCAAAAGATAGGTGATAGTAAAGCCCGGGTAGTAAAGACACAAGATCTAGCAGATGAGGCCGAATTGGTGTTTGGAGAGGACGTCAGAATAACAATGGCAGGTCGACCAGTTATTGGATTCCAGGAGTACAAGGACCAATAATGTATTGGAAAAGTTCAGGGATGGAGGGAAAGCATCGAGTTGCTGGCTGAGATCGTAAAGAGTCAGCCCAGTGCCGCCTACGTCGCCTTTGCAAAGGGCTACAAATCGAAATTTGCATATTTTATGCATAAAATTGACTCATTTGAAGACTAGGCTGAACCAACTGATGAAGCCATCAACGGTTTTTTCCTTCCAGTTCATTTTGGTGAGATGGAACCGCTCCCTGATGAGTTGCAAGAACTATTCACAAGGGGTCTGGGTATACCAGACCTGAAAGCTGAAGTCTCACAGCAATACGTTGCCTCAAAGTTAATAAAAGCACCGTGTAGCAGCTAGACTTTCTAAGGTCAACACTCCAGGCTTGAGACAAGGGTGAAAACGCGTGGCTCAACTCTGTTGCCCTTGAAGAGCAGGACGTCTGGTGTAAGAAGAAGGGTTTTGTTTCACTAAGACATGATGGCATCCAGAACTTTCTCACATCTTTGCTCAGCAAAGTCTGCAAGGATGTCGAGGTAGATCCCTACCTCCTACCCATGGACAATGACGTATTCAACCTAAGCTCCACCGTCACAAGTCATGAGGCTAGACTAGACATAAAGGCAAAAAGTTTCTGGTCACAAGGAGAAACATAATTCTTCGATGTCTGTTGTGCATCTGAACTCAACGTGTAACCAGAACAAATCCCAAGAGAAGGAAAGGAAGTACCAACAAAGAGTTATGGTCGTGGAAATGAGATCTTTCCTTCCCTCGCCTCCCCCCGTGGTTTTTGGCACAAACGGAGGAATGGGGAAAAAATGCAAACTTTTTCTGAGCAACCTAGCGGACAAACTTTCCCGAAACAACGGCGAGTCGTATGCTAGCGCCATATCTTGGCTTGAAACATGCATATCTTTTGAAATTTTAGGATCTCTTCACGAGGGTCCAAAACGCCTTTTCACAAGAATGCTGACTTTTCAGATGATTTTAGTGTTAATGCCAGGAATAAGGACATTTTAAAATTAGTTTTAGTATGCTTTTTAGGGTAGTTTTAGTGGACAGTATTTTTATTAGTTGGTTATAGTTTTTTCAGTAGACCGTGTATTTTATGCAGGATGTCTCTTTAAACGTTACATGTTGTTTTTATCATTTAAATAACAATAAAGGCCTTTTTAAACGAATAATCGACAATAAATGTCGTGGCTTTTAAACAGGAAGTAAACACGGTATATTTAGTAACAAAAGATCAGGTGATTCGGTGAGTGGAGGCGGGGGGGGGGGGGGGG